GGTGGCTGCCATCTTTGAGACATAGTTCTTACCCCATGTAACTCTTCTGCCAAAACAAGTACTCCTCTGGGGGGTTGTTAAGGAACAAGAGGGCAATGGGCATGGATTGGGGAGGGGCAACCAAAGACAAAAAGAACTTTGTGGACAGTGAGCATGCACTGCCATCCCCCTCCCCCTCCACTCTATCTGGTGGTCTCTTCATGCATTAATGTTTTCTACAAATCATACATGGGCATGGTTGGGAGATGATGGCACTGGCATCTGGTAGCCCTCTGGGGTTTGCTCTTCTCCCCTCCCAGCCTGGAGGTGGGAGCTGCTATGGCAGCTGCTTCTTCTAAGTGTAGGGACTAACTCAGGAGTTCTGTTCTGAAAGCAGCTCAATTCAGGAAAGTGAGAGAGTGGGAGGTGGGGTTGGGGGATGAGGGGAAAGTGTGGGTGGACAAGTACATCGGACAGGCAAGGAGGGGGTTGGGGAGATGGGAAAGGGGATTTGTTAGGGATGGGCATTCTCGTTCTTGCACCAAATCCTCTCTTTAGCGATGAGCACACCGGGAAGGCTTCCAGAGTTGTGGCATTAAATCCTAGAGATTGCAGCAGGGAGAGTGTCCGGAGAAGAGGGCTTCCAGGGACGGGAACAAAGTTGCACTGAAGAGTGGGGAACAAAAGGAAACTGGAAATAAAAAGAATCAGAAAGAGAGAAGGGACACATGTGCATGCAGTGCAGGGGACCTGGGTTTGAATCCGTCTGCGTGAAAATCTTTGAAGTTGGGGGGACCCATGCTGCCAACACGCCATGGGAGAGGGAGAGTGACAGGCCAGGGCAGCCACCCAGCCAGCTCACGTCAGAGCTGATATCCATTAGGCTCTTGCTCCTAATCAGCAGCTTTTTCTCCTTGCTGGCTGTGCTGCTCTGCTCCAGAGGGAGGCCAGGATCAAAAGTCGCTACCACTTATTTTGGGTTCGGTGCTTGCAAGATAGGCACCCCACCCCCTCAGTTCCCTTTCTTCTCCCCCTTCTTCCCCCCGTCTTCCTGAACTAGGTCCAGATAAATGGGGGTGTCTCAGAACACTGCCTGTGGGGGGCAGGAAAGCAGTTTCTTCAGCCAGATGCTCCCCTCACCTTTGAAGATGAATGAGAGGAACATGCTTGGTGTGTCCCCCACCTCACCCACCTCTGCTTGAGGTCTTGACTGAAATCCCCCCCCTCAGGTTGCAGAGCTGAGATCTGCTGACTCACGTACACTCACATACACCAATTAACGTGTACACTGTGGAGGAGACTGACACAGCTCCAGGGCCGTATCACCAAAGGCAGCTGTGGCCTCCAAAGCTAAGTACCTGCAGCGTGTCTGTAGGCCACACGTGCCCACACAGGACTAACGTGAAATGGCTTTGCCTTTCCATAGGAAAACCCATCCTCCATAGCTTGCCCACAACTCCAGCTAGCCCTTCCTCAACTAACAAATATTCATTTTTTCATGGAGAAGGGTGAGCACATCCGTTAATCATGAATTCGGTGTTTTTACTGCCTCAAACATCTTTAACGATGCTCTACAGCTTTAACTCATCTGGGTGTTGGAGGTGAATCCTGATTTTGTTCTAAAGCAGTTTCCAGTTTCCCAGTTTCTCTGGGTTATCCAGGGCAGCTTATACCTGTCACTGTGTCTGAAGGTCTCAAGGCTGCTCGCCCCTGTCCTGGAAACAATTTCATTTCTCTCCTTCTCAGGAGAATGGAGGGTGAATGATTTCTTGGGGAAGATTCAGGTTTTGTACCTCTTACTGCACACCCCTGGGCACACGCACACGCATATGCAATGTCTCACATAGGACTTGTAGGAATCTTAAAGGGGTTTGTAGATCCCTTGAAGCTTATACAAGAATATCAGTTTAAGATGTGTTGGTTTACATGGAAACAGTTATATTATTTGTATCTGATGTTGGGCAACTGTCCATATTCTCCTCAAAACTCCCTCTTTTAAATGCCTTTACAACCTTTGTCATTGCAAGTTCACTGACAGCTGCCTACTGCTCTTTGAGAGGTGAGGTGTCACAGGGTGGCCCCAGGAAGTAAAAGGCAGGTTGCCAAGGCTCACAGACATTACCGTGAAGGTTTCAAATTCTGCCAATGGTTTCCTGACATGTGCTTTTAAACACAGGGGGCTGGACCAAAGCTCTGGTGGCAGTCATGGGGAGGGTCTCAGCTCTGATGTCCCTTCAAAGGAGAATTGGGGAGGGGGTCAGCTGCTGGCTTCCAGCTGCAGTGCCTCAGGACCTACTGCAGGGCTCAGTGGCAGCCCACTGCCTCCCCAGAGAGTTCCCAGCCAGTGACCACGTGCGGCAAAGGTGCCAGGCCTGGCCATTTCTGCCACTGTGGGGCTTCCCTAGGAGCAAACTTTGGTGTTGTTGGGCCAGCAGAGACTTTTCAGAGCAGCCCCAAAGTCTGAGGCTCTTCCTGCCCATCCTTCCCACCCCCTTTCAGCACAGGTGTCAGATCTGGGCAGTGCTATCAGCTTCCCTTGACTGCTCCTGCTTCCTCTCCCCTCTATCTTTTACCAGTATCCCCCCAATAAATCTCTTGCACTTCTAACTCTGTCTTGGTATCTGTTCTGGGAGGACCTGCAGGGGTGCAGCTTTGTTCACAGGTGACATTGTTGGTCACTTTGCACAATCCTTACCTTCCCAGATCCTCACCTGCAAACAGCCCCCACAAGTTGTCAACCCATTTTGTCACAGAATTAAAAGTCTGTTGAGTGTGGGTTCCATCCTTCTGGCTATGCAAATTAGTAGGGTTCATGATACCACCCCATTCAGCATCCCATAGGGTCCTGAGGTTCCCTGGAGATGAGATGGAGTCATGAGATAGTCAAACACATACTTTATTATGAATGGAAGTTCTTTCCAGGATTCTAGGCTGGATAACAGAACTCTCAGGAATGAACCCTGTCCACTTCTAGGACTCTTCTTGAAAACCAGGACAATGAGGTCAGTTCCCCTTTTCTCAGGAGTCCTCTTAATCCTTCTAAGAGAAAGTACATTCTAGTGTGTCTTTGAATTCTGGTGGGGGTGAGGAGGACAAGGATTCCTGCCCTTCACTTCCTCCCAGAAAGGTCTTCCAGCCAGCCCTCAATTGCTAGGACCTGACTTTGAGTCCATGATATGTATCAGCTCCTCTCTGTGACAGAATGAAGAGGAGGAGAGATTGGCACAATACAAATAACACATTGACAGCAACTGGATCCCACATTTTGGAAGTAACATAACAAAGATGGCCCCATGATAGCTTATATTCTATTATTACTGAACAGTATACCAAGGAAAAACACTCAGGAGATAAACACAGGGTGATGCAATTCTATAAGAACGAGACCCATGCACGGTGTAAATCACGGTGTTTTGCACCTGTGGGAGCTGACAACATTTTTCAATGGGCAGTGGACAGTGGGTCAGAGGAAGACTTGCTGGGCCCCCAGCAGGGATGTTCTACTATATTTGAATGAGCCACAACCATCCAGTCTTCTCCTTATTACGTGCAGTGACGATGCTCTCCAAACACACGCCTTCAGGTGCCCTGGACTGACTTATTGCAATAGGCCCTCTGAAGGTCCCAGCTTTTGGCTTGATTACCCAGGTTGAGTGTGGGTCTTTAGAATCCTGGGGAGAATGTGCTTCTCAGGGGCCTCTGTGCCTGGTGGGCAGTCTGGACCCCCTAGGACAGGTGAGTTAGCCACAGCCAGACTGGCAGCTTCCTCAAGAGTGGAAGGAGCATTGCATCCCCAGTTCAGGGATAAGCACAGAGAAGGTAACCAATAAATCCTTGTTGAATGCATCCCTTGCCTCTTTGATAAGAGAGGATGTATCCAATTCCTTGATACTTTCTTCTTAGGTATGTCTCATAATCATGCTGGTTCCTTATGTACCCCTCTGGAGTGAATAACCCACGCATGGTATGATTCTTTATTGGAAGTATGACGAATGCTTTGGGCATTGATTTTTTTTTTGCCCCTAAATTATGTCTTTCATTCATATATCTGCACTGAGCTGGCTTTATTTAGTTTATTTATTTAATCCTTCTCATGCTGCTTTGCAGAATATGGCTCTTGGGTTGTTCTGGCTTATGCTGTTGCTATACAACTTCCCCAGGCCTGCCAGTGTCCTGGTAGGGCTATAGCCCGCATAGCTGGTAAAGGCTGGGAAGCCCGGGGGCTGTGCTGGTCTCCCTCAACACTACAAATGCAGCCCATGTGCATCCATCCTTCAGACCACAAAGAGGACATTCATGGATGTTACATGAGACTTTTGCTTTCAGCCACATCTGGACAACACATAAATCTGAAGGGCAGAAAGAAACTGTGTGCTCACCTGCTGGAAACCTTATCTGAGCACATACCTTATACTAGTATAAAGCTAAGACTGCATTAGTGTCCCTGCCATAAGATACCTCAAAAGGCCAGGGCAGGGAGACCATGTGTTTATCTTCCCTGATGGCCTCTCTAGTCATGGGACTTGGCCTGTTAACACCTCATAGGGAGATTCAGGCTTTGACATGAAGTCCTCTGCTCTGTCAAAGACCAAAATGTTCCAGAAGCAGGAAAGTACTCATGGCTTTAGGATCAATCAGAGAATGTTTGATATGGATATTGACCCATTCTAGCAGTTGCTACTCTGTAGGAACTGGATAATAAGTCACTAGATTTGCTCTTCCTATTCTTCTTGAGACCACCAATTTTTGGTGAAACAAAAAAACCCTCATGCAATCCTCAAACCACTGCATGTTAAAAGGGATACTTAGGTTATCTAGTTCAGCCCACAGTTTTACAAATAAGTAAAGAGGCTCAGGGATCCCTGGGTGGCGCAGCGGTTTGGCGCCTGCCTTTGGCCCAGGGCGCGATCCTGGAGACCCAGGATCGAATCCCACGTCGGGCTCCCGGTGCATGGAGCCTGCTTCTCCCTCTGCCTGTGTCTCTGCTCTCTCTCTCTCTCTCTCTCTCTCTCTATCATAAATAAATAAAAATTAAAAAAAAATAAGTAAAGAGGCTCAGATAGATTAAGTATGGAGCAGGCCTCTCGACTCTTGGTATGTAGCAGATACTAGCTGGCATTAGTGGACATAACCTGCCGTACTGGTGTTCACCACAGTCCCTCGGGACATAACACAGATGAACCTGAGGTTCTCAACTTCAAGATGTTTCTATGCACTGAAATACTGAGGTGCCTAAAGGAAGGCATCCATGCTTCCTTTTCATAGATGCTTAGAAGACGGAGTTAAATCTTGCCTTCAGATTTTGTGCAGTTCCTTCTTTTGTTCACCCTGTCAAGTGAAGGTGGATGTGATGATGTGCTCCACCAGCTAAAAGAGGGTAATCTGAGCCTGACTGGGGACAGCTTCACTCAGGTCAGGCAGGGGATCTGGGCAAATCCAGGTGCTACAGGAATCATCCTAGAATGAACCCCCACATACAACCAAAGTTAATTTTAGAATCATGGAATGGATTGCAGGGAATATTAAGCCCTACCTTGCCATTTTACAAGCTCAGGGAAGTTCAATGATTTGCCTTGGGTCACACAGCATGGGGGATGGCAAAGTCATAGAAGAATCCAGTTTTTTTTTTGTTTGTTTGTTTTTGTTTTTTAACTCAGGGTGGGATGCTTTCCCTAAAACATTCTGACCTTTTTCACAAGCCTCAACGTGAGGATGTTTCTGATGGTTTCTAGATCAAGGCATTATCCATGCATGAAGTGAAGCAAGACACAGATGGTGGTGGCTGCCCCTGCTGAAGACCTGGGGTCTAGGAGAGCATGTTGGAGTAGAAGCTGAAGCTCTCGGTCATGGTCTTGGAGTCACTGCGAGAGGAACCGTTGGAGGTGAGGTCCAGGGATGAGGGTGTGGTCTTGGGACCATCCTCTAGCTCCTCCTCATGGGCCCCCACCACGGTGGAGACGGTGGTCTCCAGGCGGCTGACTTTATACACGCTGCCCTGGGTTTGGAGGTACCGGGTGGATTTCATTTCGAGCCCCTCGTAGTCGCCGGCACTGATAAAGGGGCAGCACCGGAAGGCATGTTTGAAGCCCAGACGGAACCTGGTGAGAGAGCACATGGAGAGGTGACCCTGGGGGACAGCTCCTTCACCCGCCAGAGTCCCCCAGTCTGACTCTCCGTTATTAGTCTTTACACTGACAGCTGAGCACAGTAAGGCCAAAACGATCTGAAGGCCAGTCATCAAGGTACGATCCAGGACTAGACCCCAGAGTCCCGCGAAATGCAGGTGTTGACTGAGGGCCACCCCTGGACTCCATGGCCTCTACTGGCGCCACCTCAGCCCACGCAGTTCACCATTAACAGAAGCATTAGCCAAGTGTTTATTCCGTGCACGGTACTGTGTTAGTCACCAGGCAGTAAACACACATGTCAGGACTCCTTTCCCTCAAGTAGCCTGATGACCAAGGTTGACTTCAGTCATGTCCTTTCAATGTGCCTCAGTTTCCCTGTTTGATAAACAGGGAGAATCAGCCTTTACCTAAAGGCATCCTGGGATATTTAGCCCAAGACCATTTAGGCAGGTCATCAGGCTCTCTGAAGAAGCCTGATGCATCCGGGAATGTTTGGACACTTTCAAGAGAATGGCAGCCACTAAATTCACAGCACTTTATAGGCTGAGGACAGAAGGCTAGAAAGACTGTGACAAGCACTTTATTTCTGCCCCCTTTCCCACAGAGAGGTGAGAAGGTGGGGAAGGTGCTCCAGCAGACAGACTGAGCTGCCACCCTGGCATCCCAGCTCCCTTTTGGGGACTCTGCACACTGACCTGAATTCCCTATTACTAACCACAGTTCCCTTCTCTCACTTGTCCAAGGTTGGCTTCTTCTGCCAGGATAGCTTTCCTGACCAAGGAGGCCCAGATCAGGGCCCTTTTGCTTACCCTGACCTGCTGGAACTGCTGGGAGAAACTGGGTAAAGCTACCTAGATTGTATGATGGGATGGGAAGCAGAAAGTGAGAGACCGGTGAAGGGAAACGATGGAGATTCTCCCGTGGAGAATAGTATTCTGGTGCCTTCAATCTGTGTATGTGTGTGTGTATATGTGTGTGACTCCCTCTGACTCCCCCTCTGTCTCCCTCCTTGCATGCACAGCCCCCTGTGCATGGATCCATAGGGCAGAGTGAACCAATTCACAGTCTATGAACTAGATCCAGCTTGCAGACCTATTTATATCCATCAGTGACAGAGATTATTTTTTTAATGTGCACTCCCACCCCTCCTACCTTAGTTGCCAGTGTTCAAAAGTCAGAAGACCTCACACAAAAATATGGATTTCTGGTTCTTCTTGGAAAAGAAAAAAAAAAGTCTACTTTGGGTTCGTAATCGTGCCTGGCGATAACTAGTAAGGATTGAGTAGTGTAGTAATTTTTTGCTGCAGTCCTCGCCACTCCCTCTTGTATCACAGAGGTTTTGCTCATTTAGGTTGAATGGTTGGCTGCTCTAGAGACATATGATCTTGTTACCTCTGGAGAGAGTATGAGGGATGAGGTCCTCACCTGTCATTGAGGCAGCAGTAGATGATGGGGTTGTACATGGTGGAGCTCATGGCCAGCCACATGATGGCCAGGTAGACCTGCTGAATAAACTTCTCCAGGTAGAGATCAGGGTTGATGTAAGGCAGGAGGAAGAAGATGTGGAAGGGCAGCCAGCAGATGGCAAAGGTGCATACCACGACAATCATCATCTTGACCACCTGGCAAGAGGGTGAGACAGGTGAGACCACCAGCACACCCACCTTTCCTCATGGTTACTTTCTCTCTTCTCCCATCACCTCACTGCACACAGTGCAGTATGGGGTGGGAAGTATTTATTATAACTCCTTTCCAGGAGGAGGAGGAAGGACCATTTATATGTGATACCAAGGGACTTTGATTATGTCAGTAGTTCTCAGAGTGTGGTTCTAGGAACAGCTTTGTAACCATCATTTAGGAACTTGTCAGAAATGTGCATGCTGGGACCCCATCCCACACTTACAGAATCAGAAATGCAGGGAGTGAGATTCAGAATTCTGTGTCTGACAAGCCCTTCGATGATTCTGAGACATGTTCATGTTTGAGAACCTCTGTGTTATATATCCTTTTGGCAGTGACTGGAGAAGTCAAAGGAGGGTAGATCCAGGGGAATGGGAGAAATCCAGGAAGGGGGAGGAAGCAGCTGGGGTCGGGTGGGGGGACGAAGGGCCAGGGGAGTATCTGGGGAAGGAAGGGGAAGGGAGGGGTCTGGACAGCTGCAGCTAGAGAGCACCAGATGGTTAAACGGGATTTAAAAGGTTCTTATGAATAGTGGGTGATGTAACCTGTTCCTTTTTATCTCCAAGAAATCTTCAGAGAAAAACTAACTAGCATTCACACAATGAAATACTATATATAAAGAGGTACCAAAAGAGAAAAAAATAAGAAAGCTCGATACACTGTTTTTCAAAGATCTTGTAGATATTGTTAAGTGAAAAAAGTGAGGGGAAGAAGTATGTATTGTGGACAAAAGAAAGGAATATATATTTATTTGACTTATAAATGCATTGTAATATTTAGATGGATTAATAACAAATAACAGTGGTCACAGTAGTCTGTGTGTCTGGGGGGGGGGCGTGCGTGCGTGAGTTGGGAACTGGGGAGATGGGAGACCTAGAAAGGAAGAAGCCCTTTCATGGTAAGACTCAGTATATCTTTGGACTTTTAATTTTGAAATAATTTGAGATTCCCACGAACTTGCAACAGTAGTACCGAGTTCCCAGGTACCTCCTGGGAGATCATCTTACATGACACTAGCAGGTGATTAAAACCAGGAAATCAACATTAGTACAGCACTATTAAAGCAACTTCAGATTGTATTTGGATTTTGCCAGTTTTTGCATGCACTCATTTTTGTGTGTGTGTATGTGTGTGTATGGTTCTATGAAATTGTGTCACATGGATAGATGGTGAAAACCCCACCACAATTAGGTTGCAGAATTGATCCATCACCACAAAGAAACTCACTGATGCTACACTTTTATAGGCAGACTCTCCCCTCAGTATAATTCCTGGCAACCCCCCAGTCTGTTCTCCATCACTAGTTTTGTTCCTTTTAATATTTATTTATTCATGAGAGACACAGAGAGAAGCAGAGACACAGGCAGAAGGAGAAGCAGGCTCCCCATGGGGAGCCCGATGTGGGACTCAATCCCAGGACCCCGGGATCACACCCTGGCCGAAGGCAGGTGCTCAACCACTGCCCCTCCTTTTAATACTTTTTGAAGTTTGAATCAAGTGACTGCATTATTTTGTCAAACTCTAATAATAAAAGAGGACTTACTAGCTCTTCAATGCTTTTGTAGTTAAGTGTGTGTGTGTGCATGTGTGTCTTGCAATTACCCGTAAGGCAAGAACTAAGCGGCTGCTTTCTGTATGGGTAGGCCCAAGCTACAAATATGATGAAGAGAGATCTTCCCTCCCTGGCCACACATTCCCTCCCCTCCCCTCCACTATCCCACAGACCCCAGGGATGTTTTGTGCCTGTGGCCTCTGGGCCTCCTGAGGCTCTGGGGCACATCTGCCTGCCAGCTTATTGCCTGCACCAGGGTGGGTCAGGTGCTGCTTGCTCTTTGCTTACCTTGCGCTTGGCGGAAACCTGCTCGTGGTAACGGTCAGAGGAGTCGCCAGGGATCTCGCTGGCCCACAGGGTGATTCCCACTACTGTGTATGCATAGCCAATCACCAGCAAGGGGAGGAAGTAGATCAGCACAGTTACGCAGATGTGGTACCTGCAACAAGGAGGATGGGAGAGGTGGGTCTAAGAAATAACAGGGGCGGTCAAGGCTTGACAACTACCTTTCTCAGCATTTGGATGATAAGGCATGCCCCAGGGAGGCTTGCTGCCCACATTGGATGGTTGGGGGATACAGGAATGGATAAACTAAAGAAAGCAAATCTCTTCAAGTTATGTTTTTCTTGTGGACTCATTCTATAATAGAGATTCCTGTTGAGATTGGAAAGAATAAACATTGACAAAAAGGAATTGAATCCATTGTATACCTATGACAATATTAGTTGAAAGTAAGGTCAATATTCCATACATTCTCCCTCCAAAAAAAAAATGCAACCTTAGGCTGCATTAATAGAAGTATACTCTCTAGAATGCAGGAGGTGGTTGTACCATTGGGTTCATACTAGTCAGATTACATTTAGGCTCAGTTTTGGTATAGGAGTGCAGACCAACTTATACATCCAGATGAGAACCACTGGAGGGCTGGTGAGCTCTCATCCATTCTGCATGATAAGTGGATTCACAAGTATAAGAATAATTAGCTTGGAGGAGAGAGATTAAATTTATTTTACAACTAGGATCAGTGGATGAAAGCCACAAAGTATAAGCCGCTTCTAAGCCAGGCCCTTAAAAATATATCTCCAGATGGAACCTTCCTGGGTCTGAGTTACAACTTGCAGGACAGATACCAACTGACGTGAGTTTGAGACATAGGCAGAAAGAAACCTTTGCGATGTTAAATCACTGAGATTTTGAAGTTTGTTACAACAGCATACCTTATCCTATTCTGTTTAAGGCAAGGGTCTTACTAAGTAGGACACTCAAATAATTTTTTTTTTTAATTTGAGAAAGGATGTTTTTCTCAGGGGGTCTGGTATGTCTGGCTAGTTATAGTTCTTTTCTCCTGATATGGGCTTAATGAAGAGGCTCAGTCTCTTAATATTAACTACTAATAATAGTGGGAATGGCTAATATTTTGGGGAGTTCACTCTAGATCACTATGCTAATAATAATAATGCTAATGATGGTATTAATAGCAGAAATGGTAGTTAGATTTTATTTAGTGAAGAGTGAAATGCCAAGCACTTAACTACCATTATTCTTATTTGATACTTAAAACAAATGATTAAATAGTTACCATGATAATCCCATTTTATAGATGAGGAAGCTGAAGTTTAGAATTTAATTAACTTTCCCCAAATCACAGCTGGTAAAAAGAGGAGCTGGGATAAGGCGGCAGGACTATAACCCCAGAACCAGCTTCTTGTCCCTGGAGAAAAGTCACCCAATGGTATTTTCTTCCACTCTGTTTATGCTTATTCTCTGAAATGATTTCTTTTCTCAATAAGGAAAACCCACTTATTCACTTAATTTCTCCTTTACCGATACTATGTTTTCAATCACTTCTTTGCAAAGCCCCATAGTTTTACTACTTATATAGCCTCCTCTGAATATTAAAATTTGCAACTTGAAGACATTTGAAGAGCTTTTAAGCAATGCACCACAGATTTGACAAAGCAGAGTGCTGAGCGCATCCATTTTGTGCAGATAGGCTGCTCCAATCTTGTTAGGTCCCCCCTCGATTGTCACCTCTGGGAGCCTCTGGGTTCTCCAGCCACCAGGGCAGTGAGTGCCTACTGAGGTTCCTACCTGATCTCAGCCTCTCCTCCTGCTTGCCTTAGTTGCCATTTGAGATTTGAGGGCAGGGAGACCATGGGAACCTCGAGGTTACTCCTGCTCCTCCTACCTGGAAGAACAGTCCTGCTTTATGCTGACTGACACTTGATTGGTGATCTAAGCACATTAGCTGAGCTTTGTGGGGCCAGTGCCTCAGAGTGCTGAACATCCCTATGGGAGTCAGGGACATGACAGGAGGACCCTGCAGTTGTCACCTATGCTCCTTACCCTGGACCAGTGGTTCCCAAACTTGAGCCAGCTTCAGAGTCACCTGGGGTGCTTGTTCAAATGCAAAGGGCTGGACCGCACCTAGACTTTTCCATTTAGCAGGTCTGTGGAGAGTGCCTTAGAATCTGCATTTATTTTTTATTTATTATTTTTAAAAGATTTTATTTATTTATTTGAGAGGGAGAGAGTGCAAAAGTTAAGGGGGCAGAGAGAGTGAGTAGGGAGTCTGACTCAGGGCTTCATCCCAGGAACCTGAGAACATGACCTGAGCCAAAGTCAGACGCCTAACCAACTGAGCCACCCAGGTGCCCCCTGAGAATCTGCATTTATAGCAAATTCCCAGGCCACGCTGCTGCTGTGGTCCAGGTTCAGATTTTGAGAAACACTGTCCTAAACCAATGGTTCTCAAGCCCAGAATCATATGAGAATCACCAGGGGAACTTTTAAAATGATCAGTGCTCAGAGACGCACATTTAATTGGCCTTGGGTGTAGAAGCAGGAAACCACAGTTGAGAAAATTCTCCAAGTTATTCTGGCACATGGTTAGCACTGAGAAGCACTGTTTCAGGTCCAAGGTCTGCAAGCCCGTTGGAATCCCATTGTTTGAGATTTTATGACTTCACCAAAGTGCGTGTTAGCCATATTTTTAAATTTCTGTGTCTGACACTTTGAGGTCTGGGCCTTGCTGACTTGGAAAGGACCATCCCTCTTTGGGCTAGTTGATTCCTAGAGATAATTCCTGCTAGTGTGCCTTTCATATGCCAACTAACCAACCCAGGGCTCATACACCCCCACCCACCTGTTTTCTCAGGGGCTCTTACTGTGTGGGATCCTATCCAGCTGCCATAGTCACTCCAGGGCCACCTCAGTCAGGGGCGCGGAACCCAAGGAAATGATTCAAACTAGCCAATTCTAAGCCTGTTTACCCTGCCTCACCCATTCCTTCTCTGGAACACACAATAAAGGCTTTCCTGACGTCCCCCCATGCTCTCTCTCTGCCTGTGGCCCTGCGTGGCTCGCCTGCTCCTTTGTCCTGGGAACTGTGAGTAGTAAACTATCTTTTCAATGGCAATCATGTCCTCATCTGTTGGCTTCACCATACCTGAATAGAAAATAAAACCTATACTTTAAAACAAAGTGCCCTTTAGAAAATCACAGATCAGATCAGACCATTAGGAAAATGCTAAGCTGAATCAATAAACATTAACTTATCAGCCTCTTTCTTTCCCCCAAGTAGGTTCCACACTGGGCATGGAGCCCAGTTCGGGGCTTGAACTCATGACTCTGAGATCGAGAGTTGGACGCTTAACCAACTGAGCTACCCAGGAGCTCCTGGCCTCTTTTTTTCTTATTTTAAAGAAGGAAAAGTAATTTTCTTATTTATTTGTAAACAACAAAAAGTATGGACTTAATTCTAGTTAAAAAGTATTACAATCAGGTAGTGCATTAACTTGTCCATTGTAGAACAGGGATAATTAAGAATAACATAGGATTATAACTCAGCAATTTCACTTCTAGATATATACCCAGGAGTAGATACTTGTGCACCAGTGCTCATTGCAGCACTACTCACCATAACCAAAAGGTGGAAACAACTCAAATGGCCCTCAGAAGTTGAATAAATAAACCAAATGTGGTATACACTTAACGTTGGAAAGTTATTCATCCACAAAACAGGAATGAAGTTCTGATACCTGGGACAACATGGATGAACCTTGTAAACGTTATGTTAAGTGAATAAGCCAGACATAAGAGGACAAATGTTGTATAAGTCCACTTATATGAAATATCTAGAATAATCAAATTCATAGAGATAGAAAGTGGAATAAAGGTTGCCAGGGGCTGAGGAGAGGGAATAGGATAATAAGTACAGAATCTAGGATGATGGAAAAGTTCTGAGAATGGATCTTGGTGATGGTTGTGACAACACTGTGAATGTATAATGGTACATTTTCTCTTATATGTATTTTATTGCAATAATTTTATTTTAAAAATTCCATTAAGAGCATTCTAGTGGAGCTGGGGTCTTAAGTCTCCAGATGGACAGTTATTTGCTTAGTCCAGGAACCCCTTGACAACCTCCCCCTCCAAAATCATAAAAGAACAAACCAACCTATAAGTTTGATTCTTGGATGGGATCAAAGGTTAAATGCATCCCCCTAAATCTTGCTCAGATAAATCTCTTTTACATAGAAATTGCAAATACTCAATCCAAACAATGTCTGAGTTATCGAAACTCCTAAATGGCTCTCAGCCAAACGAATGAATTCCATCAGCTGAGAATATGAAAATAAATACATTTCTTCCATCTTGACACCTTCTTGGAGAAATTTTACCATATCCTTGTGGTTAATTGGAGATAATCCTGTTTTGTAATTTTTTTATGCCAAAATCATTATTTTAGAGAGTTGGCCAATGGAACCTTATGTAATCTTATTATGTGTGGCTCTATGCTATTTTTTGGTGTTCAATTCTGATATTCCCTAGGTTCCTGCCAAGCAGGGTTTTATCAGTTCTCAGAGTTAATATCAGCCTTAGGAGAAGAGAAGAGGGGTCAGGGATGCCTCAGATGTGAGTCCAGAGAGAGAACCAGGAGTGACAGCAAGAGGCTGTGACAGCAGGGGTGGCATGGCTCCCACTTGATGAGATGTGTGCATGGATTCGGATCATTAAATTCTGTCAGGGGACTTATCTGTACTCAGAAGGTAGGTGCACACAATGAAATCATGTCTTTGTTCCCTCCCGGTCACTCCTCTAAGCAGCACATTTTACAGGATAAACTTGCTGAATACAGACTGTGCCACCCCAAATCCTGCAGATTTGCCTGTCCTTAATGCTCTCTAATCCAGGTTCACCAATGGTTCACTATCTGGAGTCATCTCATTGTTCAAGCACCAACAGTTCCGGTCTCTGAAAAAATCCCCAGCATTTGAAATCAGATACATGGGTTTATTCAACAGTATCCAGTGCATCTTCTAATGCACTTCATGGAGGCTCTTGGTGCCCTGAGGTCTCCGGGGAGGAAGGGGGCTGAGAGGACAGGGTTAGGGGGTTTCTGCTTTACTGTAACAAGTGACTGCTTTGCTGGGTTTA